TAGAGATTAATCTAAAATTAAGAATAAGAATAAATCTATTTAAATATTGTTTAATATTCTTTTTTTACAACGTAATATATCAAATTTTTCTTTTAGAAAATCTAGCAACGAATATAAATATTAACGATAACTTTTCGAACCAAGACCAGATGTGTGTATAATATATTGGTTGCCAACACAAATTGACTATTATCCTCATATTTTGAATACATGACAATTGCTAGTAATATTTACCAAAGATGATTGATTTATTATCCAGGTGCGTCGTTACAGCATATCCAAATAATATTTGATTCTACCGATTATTATTATTCGAGTTCCGTTTCACACATAGAAAATAAAATTTATTATTGAAAAGGAGCCCCTCAATTACTTATTTTAAAAGAGTACAATTTTATGAAGACATGTTTTTTTTCTTTTCTTTTTTTTTAATTAAAAATCCTGTTATAGACATAATCGTAATAAATATCAAAATATATAATAAATATATATTATTATTATTATATTATTTTATATATATATTTGCAACCATCGTAGGAATAAAATGTGTTCTCTTTGAAATAAAGGATGCAGGGGGCTGTGACCCGAATAATCATTATCGATTCTCGTTCGCGTGTTCAACTTTGTTGAGAGTGTATTATACTTTCATGTAGATAAAATACACAAGTAGTCTGGTGGAGTGATGGTTTGATGGTGGAGGTGATGGGTGGTGGGTGGTGGTGGTGATGATGATGGTGGGGGTGGTGTTTGGTCGACGTTGCTATTCGACGACGCTATTCGACGATGTTATTCGACGCGTCGTCGCAAAAGAGAAGCAAGCCAATAAAATTACTCTCGTGTTTCATTCTCGAGTCAGTATATTACGAAGCATAGAGAGAGGTGTTCGGTGTTGTATAGTTCAACGAGTCATCATCTTTCTTTTTCTTTCTTTCTTTCTTTCTTTATTTCTCTTTTTATCTATCTCTCTCACTCTGTCTATCGCGTGTTCTATTTTTCATTTATACGGAATAAAACTGTACACATTGTTAGTGAAACCTCTTCTGTTATCAGATAAATTTGTGTTTTAATAGATAATAGATAAAACAATAAACGAGTCTATAAAAATATTTCAATTATAATTCATCGAACGAATACTTGAAATAAAATCAAAAAGAAGTAAGTTAATAGAATATATATATATAGATATGTATATGTATATGTATTTGTATTTGATATAACCAATCAAATTGTATCTCTAGATTGGTATTCTTGCATCCTTATTGGTCAGAGGACGCAACAGTCGCTTTCTCTTTTTCGAACTGATGTTCACATCTATGGTGTATGTGAAAGTATTTCTTATGGTGTTTATATATTTGTTGCATCTATGTCGAAGATATTGAAGAGGACAAGGAATGATAAATATTTTGAATATAATTTCATTGTAATTCTGGCAAAAACAAAACAAACATTCTCGAAAAGTTTGATTGATTTTTAATTATATTTTACTTACACATCGATGATTCATAAATACGTGTGCGTGCCAGGTGCATAACCAGAATAAGTGCATAATAACCACGAGTGACGTTTTATATTCAGCACATGGGAGCAAGAGTGCGTGAATAATTAGAAAAAGGAAGGAAAACAAGAGAAATAGGAGGAGTATAGAAAACAAATAAATAAAAAGGGAATAATGTCAAGTAGCGTGTGCCACGCACCCCTACCAACACGAATGGAAACATTCACCACGAGACTTTGTCTACGTGCGGTTGATCAGTATGAACGGCTTCTGCAGGCTCACTTCAACAAGGTATGCAAACTTATTTGATGATAATAACATCTCGTTATCTTCTATCATTAATCTTTATTTCAACTTATACGTTTGTTGTAACATACCACCCTACTTAGCTAGCTATGTCAATTATTTGTATATTATTAATACAATTTTTATTGAAACAATCCTGAGATAATTGAATATTATAAATTATGTGTCCCTGAGAGAAAATTTATCAATATTTCAATATTTTTCTTCTATGTAATAAATTTGAACCGAAACTGTGTTAAGGTCTATTCAAATTGTATTATCATTGTGTGTAAGGTGTGGCTTTCAACACTCATTTTCTTCTACACAACGATAACTTCGTGTTATTCATTTCACAGATAACAGTTAAATTTCTGACAAAAGTATCATTATACGAGTAAGAGTTTCTTTCGATATATTTTACATTTGTAATATAAACAAATCATTTTCTTTTTATTAAAACTTTGAACCTAGATAAAAAAATGTAACATCTCATTGTATACATTTTTTCCTATTAGGTAAGATCTTTTAGTAAAACAGTTTAATTATTATTTAATAGTCAAATAATGAAACATTGAATGAAGTAAGATATCAATAAAAAGTAACCACTCCACGTGTAAACAAGAATAGAAAAGAAACGTCATTCAAATTATATATAGTTTGTACTACTATTTAATTGTGCCCATAATTATCAAAGTGATCTAAGTCATATATCTCTTGTTTCGAGATATTTAAAGAATTACATTTGAACATTAATTGAATTCTATATAATATTGAAATAACAAACATTATCTAACGGTTCATTTTTGACAACATCGTGAAAATTACATTGAATTAATTTAGTTTAAAATAATGTGGTGTGTGAAATAATTAATAAACTCATATTTTTTTTTAATTTTAACTTAGACCACTTGCATAATTATGGCCACAATTATGTTCACATCCATCAAAGATATATATTTGACTAATTTTTCTACTTTAAATATTGATTTTCAACAGGATCATTATTAACACTAAACCTACCGACACTTCGTGTATACATATTCCTACTGTGAGTGGTCAAATTTAATTGCTTAAAGAAAAAAATCATATATTTTAATATTTAAACGACCGCTGACGAGATTTCTCGTATTTTTCAATACTGAAATACGTGAAAGACCTGCAATGAAACTTCTCCTATTTAAATTTTTAATTTCCCATATATTTTTCATTACGAAACGAAAAAATCCTTGGTCATATAATTATAGTAAACCTACTGAGAAATAATATGCGGTCATTTAAGTGTTATGTGCCTTGCTAAAATACAGAAATTATCTAGATAATCTGTGCATTAACGGTATTCTTTAGCTTCAACGGTAACATCAATATTGAATGAAATTTTTAACACATTTAAATAACGATGATAATATATTTTCTTTCATTTGAAGATGAATAAAATAATTTACATACATTGTACAAATTACCTCATTTATTACAATACCGTAAATGGTTTCAATTAAAAGGTTTAGGCGTTAAACAACAACAAAAAATCACCTCTCGAGTTGGTAACATCGATGAAAAGATGGACGAAAGTAAAGTACAATGATATATCTGATGTCTATGAATAAAAGAGGAGTATTGTGCGTAACGTAGTACGCGTCGTTTGCTGACGTCGTGTATAAAGAAGAGTTCATGCCCTCGTTGATTCGTGAAACTACCCGCTTTCCAACGGAAGATCATTGACCCGTTATATGTGTGTATACTCGTTACATATATATTCTCTGCTCTCTTGCTTCGTGATACGATTTAATCTCGTGGTCGAGCAAGCTTGTAATGTGGGTTTCGATGAAACTTGACCGACATTTACGTCATTGCTTTATCCGGTTTACTTTGCCCCCTTCCCCCTCACCTCCACCCCGCTCCCCGACCCTCTCTCTCTCTCTCTATTTTTTATTTACTTATTTTTCTTCATCTTTTTCCTTAGTATATCTTCTTCAAATTTTCATATCTCGTGTCATTTTTCTAAACATATTTCCGTTAACGTCGTTTAAAATCATAAGAGAAGAGAAATATGGTGAAATGTTTTTATTTTTACGATTTAGAAAATATGAACGTTGTATTAATGGAATGACCAGATAATTGTGAAATCAATCTATAATATATATGCTTCAGTGGTTTTTGTTTAATGCATAGACGGCGGGGGAAGGGGGAGGAGAGCAAAATGATCCGAATTTATTATAAATAAAACGAACCACGACAGGTGCATGTACGTTCGTATGATCACGAAATGATCTTCACTTTGCGTCCTGTGCACTTACACGTGCACTCACACGTGTACCCACTCGTGCACGCGTTTTCTCAATTGCCTGGCTATAAGAAAACTTAATCTTCAATCATTAATACTTATTAATGATATATTATGTTATTCTGTTACTAATAAATACTAACGTGGTGCACTCGGTTTCTGTTAAGAATTTAGATCTTTTTTTCCTCTTAAGATTATTTCCTCCACCTCCCCCATCATCCCTCTCCATGTACTAAACCCACCTCTCACTAAAACACATTTGATAGTAATTTAACAGAAATTTGTTAATTTCCATGATTTGTTTCACTTAAACGAGCTTAGAAACACTTATGTTAGTGCTTTAAACACACAGCCAACTGAAACAGATTTTATAGATTGACCGGATCCAATGGGTTTTGAACAATCTATAAAATGTCCTACTCTATTGGGCAGTGTAACAAATTTTCATATTCTATATAATGCCTGGATTCTTTACATTGATCGTAACATATATATTGATACTATATATAAAACGAAAAAAGAATTATAAAACGATATCCCCATTCTCTTTTTCTCTCTCTCTCTCTCTCTCTGTCTCTTAATTCCTATCTCCGTTTATGGCAATCTCGCAGTCAGGATTCAATAATCAAGTCTCTCTTAGGTTCGAAGCATTAATCATCAACAACATCTACTAATAAAGAAATTTACTAAATTTGGATCGTTCCATTTGACTTTTAAGATGCGCGTGATTAAGTAATTTACGGGGTTTTCTTGTTTCTTTTCTTTTTTCATTTTTGTTCTTCTCTCTCTTTTATCTTTTTTCTTATTTACTTTTTTTTACCCCTTTACGTACAAAGATAAATAAGATATGTAGTAATTAACCTATGATGCATCTTGTTAGCGTCAACCTTTTTTTTTTCTTCTGCTTCTTCTTCTTCTTCTTCTTCTTCTTCTTCCGATTAACATATTGATCGATCCATCATCGACATCGATTTTTTCTGTTTTTTTTCTATTTTTTTACCCCCTCCTCCACTTTTGTTATTATGTTTCTTTTCACAATTGCAATATACGGATATGAGAACACAAGATGCAACTTATAAATTGTATGAAATCAAAATCTAATAATGCATTTCGATTTAACTCTTTTTCTTTCTTTCTTGGGTATTAGGAATAAAAAAAAAAAAAAGAAAAAAAAGAGGAGAAATAAGTCTTGTGTGTAACGACGTAAACGAGATCATTACAGTATTTGTGTCACGGTTAAAATTCCTCTTTGAACAACTCGCATTGACATAGTCATTGTTACCATCGTCATTAACCCGTTCGTTTTCATATTATCCCCCCTCTAATTACCAGTCATTAGAAAAACAAAAAGAAAAGCACGATCGTAATTTTTAAATGGATTGTTATTTTATTTTTTCATTTCGTTTTTTCCCACGCCTCCTCCTCCTCCTTCTCTCCCTCTCCCTCGATCCATATTGTTTTCTCCGTGACTCATTGTAAGTTTACCCGGTTTTACTTTTGTATTGATACGGGTTTGTTGTTTTTTTATTTTTATTTTTATTAACTATTTACGAGAGTAGGTTTTCCTATTTAAAAAAATAAAACAAAAATATCATCGTAGGAATTATATAATTTGACGAGTGTACACAATAATCCATTTATAGAAGAAAGAAAGAAAAAATGTATAATAGAACGCTAAGTGTCATTGGACGGTAAGAGAACAACAACGTATCCTGTTCGATTATACTTTTTGCTATCGATAATAAGCTCATTGCGATCGTTTAGTTCTTTTTTTTCTATTCCTTTTTTCTTTTCTTGTTTTTTCTTTTTTTTTTTTTTTTTCTTCGATTTGTTTAACACGCAAATCGCGATGCACGTGTGCAAGGCTAGCTAGGTCGTTGTCATCATCATCGTGTCGTGTCGTGTCGTGTTATTACAATATAAACCATATCGTCGTCGGGTGGAAATTCCGATCGTGAAATGTCGACGTGAAAGAAAGATCATCGAAAGAAAGAGAGAGAGAGAGAGAGAGAGAGAGAGAGAGAGAGAGAGAGAGAGAATAAAACAAAAAATCATTGATATCATGTAAGTATTACAAGTATATGCAAATAAGGGCGCGAACTTTGAATTTTTCTGACGATTGACGTAAACGGTACGTACTAGTAGCTAGCTAACTAGCTAGTAACGAGATCATTATCGTTCGTGCATGTTTATGCAACAAACTGAAACGTAGAAATAGTTTAGTTATTTTTTTTCTTCCTCCTCCTCTTCCTCTTCTTTTTATTTTTCTTTTTCTTTTTGCCCTTTCCTTTCTATTTTTATTATTTTTTAACTACCATTTAAAACACGATTTTTTTTCTGCATATATTTTATATATATATATATATGTTAACTGTTGAAGCTTGAAACTTGTTAATGTGTGCACTTTACCTAGCTAATTTACTAATCTAAGAGTTTTCCGCATTTTACCTAGATAATGTTAAAGTATCGTTAAAGAAGATGTCGTCCTTGCTGTTGAATTATCTTTACGTCGAATAACACTAAAACAATCCCTTGTAGTACTTTGGGCAAATTTTCAAAAAATGTCTACACATTGCAAATCTAAATTGTTTTATATTCATTATTTATATATTCAGTTAGACATATTTTTATTAAGTAACCTTTTAATTCTATACTTATCTAATAAAATAATGGAAAGTTCTCTGAACACATAAAAGCAAGATGTATAAAGAAGAGAGAATAAAAGGTTATTCGAGAATATTTAATTCCGCAAACACCTTTTAGCATTAACACACGTATAACCGATGTTTGAAGAATTTGCGATCGCTTTTTAACCTCGATGAGAGGTATGTAACTTATTTGCTTATTGCTATTGGAATAGAAGAACTTCAAGTTAGTTGGGCAAACGTAATTCGCTAATTCAATTTCCTCGTGTCCTCTAAGTTCCTTTACCTTGCTAAATATAATTAGAATGAGTGACACGTATCGATTCAATCGAATTCCGTAATACACGGACACCTGATATCACCCTTGGTTCTTCTTGGCTGTTATTCATTTGAGATGCGATTTTAACTATGAAAACGTGACAAACATAATGATGTTATGTCGTTACGCCATATATAATACGTGGATACCAATATTTTTCTTCCACCTCTTGCTGACCATGTTGTATATCCTTGCTATTTAAGGTGGAGAACAAACAACTACTGTATACTACTTGTATATATATATATATATATATATATATATATATATATATATATATATATACACGTCGTGAAATAATAACAAAGCTATAAAATTGATGGCGCCGTCAGCATCATCGGAAGCTTATTTGTCGTCTTCTTTGTCGACGAGTTTCGACTTCGACTTCGACTTCGACTTCGACTTTGCAACAATACGAAGAAAAAACCCGATTAGATAAAACCAAATGTACCTCTCTACTCACCTTTCTTTCATATTATTATACTTACGTATACATGTTGTTCATAAATTTATCAACATATCTATATACATATAAGTGCACATTCATTCTACGAAGTGCAGAAATGTTACCGTTTATTTCATTATTTTCGAATAAGTTTCATATACAATGAATGCACATATTTTTAATCTGCCGAAAGTGGTCATCATCTTGTGCCCAGAAAAGTATTCATCCTAACAGGAATGTGAGTTGAAAAGTTTGAAAGCTATTTTCTTGCGTTAGATTGAAGATTTCTTTTCATCTCACCGTCACGTGTTTCAATGTAATACAAAAACAAAGAATTTGAATCAAATGTTATGTATGATATAATCTTATTCGTAACAATTTGTATATAAAATAAAATGGAAAAGAAAAAAAAGAACAAAAATCGCGTGCAACCTCCACGCGTGAGAGAAAATCCAATTACCTTGCCGTTAAAATACGTATCACGCTTTTTCCTAGAAAATGTATTCAGTATATAAGTTGTTTCTCTCGTTATACATACTCTGACGTCTTTGTAAAGTGTCTTCGACGTTCCTCGTATGCAAATACACATACGTTTATTCTTACTGTTATGCAGTAAATTCTTGACGGTGGAAGATAACGCTAACACACGTCTCTTTCGTATTCACCGTTTATTTCTATTTGAGGTATTACTTTTATACTTTGCGATGTAACAGTTCCTTGTTTTTTTTTTTTTTAATTTCTTCTTGAATCTTTTAATACAATAAATTTTACATCGATTGTGTCGATAACGATCGTACATAATAATATGAGAGATGAAGAAATGTTTCTCATTATAATTATAACTTATATTTAACAAAACATTAACTTATATATAGGATTTCAATTAATTGCGATACTTTTGTTAGAAAACAAGATAAAAAAGAAAGATAATTGTAAAAGAATGCAAATATATGAATATATGAATATACGTATATGATTTCAAAGTCATGTGATATATTATAAAATATCAGGTAAATTATTGGGACACGTTAGAGACCTTGTCAAAAGAATTCAAACATGTATATATATATATTATGAAAGATCGTATTCGTAAAATAATAAAATGTGATCTCGACTGAATTAAATTCTTAGTAGGTTTTTCTTGTTACAGTCTTCCAACAAAGAACAAAACCGAATAAATAATCATGATTCTGCGGCACGGAAAGATACGCGACGGCAAAAGGATGCATCCTCGAGTAACAGCAATTACAGTGCCTTTCGGCAATGGAGGAGAAGTACTTCCGTTGGTACCAATCGGTCCAACAGTGCTGGGCCAAGGACTGTCAATTCTATTGCCAAATTGCCAAACGATGCAGCTACGATTAAAAAGATGGAACAATTTCCGCTTGTTCTTTCCGATACTACTATGCCCGATGAGGACTTGTCTTTAAAGTTTCTCGCATTGGTAATTTGTCTAACGTACATATGGAAAATTAAAATGAATCATTGATTTATCCGTTCGTCATTCAAATTATTCCTTTTTATCTATTTGTCAGAATGCTTTGGATCTTACTGCACCAGCTAGCGATGTATTATTGAAAAATAGACTGAAATCTTGGTTCCAATTATCTGGACACCCTGATGGTTTTGCACCTGCTGGACCTGGTACTGTATGGAAGAGAAAAAGTGGAGGAATTGAAAATACTGAACGCATTGTCTACGAAGCTTTAAGTCAAGATGATGCATTCCGAGATTGCATTCCTAGGTATATATATTTAATAAATAATTAATATAACGTTCGATAAACAAATACCAAACGAATATAAATAAAAAGAATAATGACAGTGTATATATTTGTATTACATATTATTATTTAAATAATTCGTAATATGCGAAATTTGCTAATTGATATATTTTCATTAAAAAAAAATGAAATCATTATTATTATATTATTTAGGTATTACAGAGAGGTCGAATACAAAGGAGATACGTTCATTGAATTACAAGATTTATTATTTGGTTTTAACGATCCTCATGTAATGGACATTAAAATGGGTACACGAACATTTTTAGAATCGGAAGTATCAAAGACTATGGCGAGATCAGATTTATATCAAAAGATGATTGCTGTTGATCCGAATGCACCTACAGAACAGGAACACGAACAACGTGCCGTAACCAAATTACGATATATGCAATTTCGTGAACAACAAAGTTCAACGTGTAGTCATGGATTTAGAATCGAAGCTATGAAATTACCTGGAACACCGCCAATCATATTAAAAAAAGTTAAATCGCACGAGGAAGTGTTAGATACTATGAAAACATTTCTTCGAAAGAAAGAGGAAACTCGTAGAAATCTATTGAAACGTCTTAAGAATCTAAGAACAAAGATCGAGGAGTCCAAATACTTTCAGACTCATGAAGTATGTGCTTAAATCACGTATTCAACAGAGGTTGAATTATAATTTTGATCTGTAAATTAACATTGCTTATTTGTTTAGATCATAGGTAGCAGTATCTTCATGATTTATGACAATGAAAAAGTTGGAGTTTGGTTGATAGATTTTGCTAAAACTTACGAATTGCCGGAAGGCCTTAAAGTGACACATAGACGCCCATGGGAACAGGGTAATCACGAAGAAGGCTTTCTATTTGGACTCGATAATCTTATTTCTACGATAGAAGAAGTAGATATTTTCTCGTGAAAATTTTATTAAAAAATGTAAAACTTTTTCTTTACGTATCTCCTTTAAGTACTTCTTTTCTAAATTCTTCTGTTATTCTTATTGATTATCTTTTTTTTTCTTTTCTTTTTATAAAAATCACCTTAACGTACAAAGATAGCATTTAAAATAGTTATATCTTGAAATTTGTAGAAAAATCTTGTTTTTCTTCATTTATGTTTTATTTCTTTTACGACGTTTGTTTCTGTCTTCTCTATTATATATATAAGTATGTAAGAAATATCTTATTGTTAGTTAAATAAGTAGCAGCAAATACGAAAGATTTAAGTCTGAAAATATTATATAATTTGTGTTAAGTATACAGCTTATACTTAGAATCTTGATAGTATTTTATATTGCATGATTTTTATATACATTTTCAAGATATTTTTGTCTCTTTTTGAAGTATTATGTTGTATAAATAGGATTGTACCTTCTTGTAGCTACATTAAAACTAAATCGCATTATATACTGTAATTGAAATACATATGATATCATTGTTTTTGCAAAATTCGATGTAGTCTAATATTTAACGTTAATAATAGATATTCTCAATTGTATAAGTCTAGCATACTACAGTATATTAGCATTTTCATTGTTATAAATCTTAGATTATTATTAGATTAATAGAACTTCCTTCATGTTAGCGTAATTTATTTATATATAATAATTATATTCATTATATTTTATGTATTTAATTATTTTTATCAATTGGTTTTCTTGATTTTTTTTATTTTTACCTTTACTTCAACTCTATAAATTTATTTTAAAAATCAATTATACAAGTAATTAAGTATATTTATTCGAATATGAAATAATATATTACTGTGTTTAAATGAAAGAGTATTATTAATACAAGAACAGAACAATGTTGTTTACGTGATAAAGTTGATATATTTACTACTTATCGCACGCATACATATACAAAATTATCATTAGAATAAAATTGGACTAAACCCAATAAATATTTAATTTTATTACGTACTACTCTCTTGCATGATATAAACAAATTTACCGCCAAAATGACAGATGGCGACGTCAGCGCCTCTTTAGGTGACAACTAACATTAAATTCGTGACTTTAAGAAGATTGTTTACCTGCGATGCTGCACTTATTCCTTTTTAATGAAGAAGTAATTAATCGATTTAAATTTAATATAACATTTATTTTAACATAAATAATGGGAACCAAAATTTTGAAGGATATACAAAGTGATATAAAACTTCTGATCACGGCGATAACTGATTTTGAGGTAGGTTATATTGGTCTTGAATAATTTCAAAATTGTAATTTGTTAGTAGACATAACTTTTTGTACTTTTTTAATAACAGGAAGATGAAGAAGGATTTCAAATTTGCGAACGTTTTGTTGTTTCCAATATAAAACATCATCAATATCTTTCTGTTAATAGTCATGCAGTGAAACAATCTATTAACAATATTACCACCAAATTATCCATATATGCTAAATTTAAAGAGGCTAAAAAATTTCAAGAACTCATAGATTTCTTTTTAAATAGTTTTGATTTCGAACATCATCCGCAATATGATTTACAATGGACTTTGTTAGCTTTGTTGTTTGATTTATCGTCTGAAATCGACAAAGTGGATTTGAATAATTTAAAGTCTTTTCAAGGAGATTTTCATACTAATGTTACCATTGCTAATGAAAAAGATGCTATCGAAGAGATTGATTGGGCTGATTATTTAAAAGAAGGGGAAGAAGATTTCTTTTGTGATTTTAAAGACGATGAAAGTAGTGATGTAAGTTGTTTAATGTGATATATATATATATTTTTTTTAAGATATTTTTATTTATAAATTCACATTTATACGCAGGAGTGGTCAGACGATACAGAAAAAGTAACAGATCTTTCTTGCATACCAATCGAAACAACTTTGACAACTGTAGATGGTATAACATCTGAAGAATCAATAGATGTTAAACATAAATCAGATATACTAATGCAGTCATTAATAGAGGAATTTGAGTCAAGAAAATGGTTGATGTCGAACGTTCAAAATACATGGTGGGACAAATCGGTGATTTATAAATATCCTGTATGCAGCAAATATCCCGATGCACATTTCTGTCAAATTTGGTAATTTCCTTGCAGAACTTAGCATGTTGTATAACGCAATATTTCCAAGTAATCTAATGTATAAAACAGGCATGAAACAGTTCATAAGGATTTCTCTGATATTATTCTACTTAATGAATACCAAGCGTGTAAAGAAATATTATGGATTTTCCATGTTCAAACAGAGATGACAATATTTGAGCGAGAAAGTGAATTTGCATTCCGCATTAGGCCTAATGTTTCTGTACCAAGCTTAACTACTGTAAGTTTTTACAAAATAATATGTGATAATATGAATTGAATTTATTTTTATAAATTACTCTTACAGGCTGCTTTTCAAAATATGTTATCTCCACTTTGTGAATATTTAACTATGATACAAGACATAGAAGTATTTGACAAAGAATTGTTGAACAAAGATACAAGTTACTTGGAATATAAAAAACCACCATTCGTATACGAAGCATATAATGCTGCGATCAAAGAAAAACTCTTAAGTTTTAGGATGGAGATTATAAGCATCGAGAAAGATATTACAAAACAAGGTATTAATAAAGTTATATATTATACTTACGTTTATTAATTACTGCCATTTTTGCAGCTAGTAGCCAGACACTTCTGTCTTTATTGGCTCGTTTAGAAAAGCCTTTAAAAAGAATTAAAATATTGCACGAAGTTCACAAAATATCTGTATCTGATTGGAAATTATCATCTAATTGGAATTGCGCTTCCAAATTACTTTCAAATTTACTTTTACAAATTACAAACTCTCATTGTCAAGAAAAGACAAATTTATGCATTAATTTATATCTGTCTACTATTCCTGTATATTTGAACATTATCGATACATGGTTAGGCGATGGACGTTTAGAAGATTGGAGAGATGAATTTATAATAGAAAGAAGGTAAAGACCTATTAAAATCATTGCTAGATTTTTCATTAAAAACTTCATACATTATATTAGAATTTCAGATGAAGAAGTTGCAAAAACTAAAAAGCAATGCGTAAAATTTTTGGCAAGACCTTTGGATGATATTTGTTTGGAGGATAATGTTATACAATTACTAATTAACAAGGTACAACATATTGGACACAGTATTGACTTGCTTGTATCGTTAAATCGTATCATGGAAATGTGGAATGAGAAAATTAAAACTGAAGGTATAATTATCTATGATAATTAATATATTTCATTTTTCATATTTCACATTAATGTTATTGAATTCTTTTAGAAAAGAGAATTTCTTTAAAGGATGAATTTTATACCTTATTGTTGTCTGAAATATGTAAATATACAACTCAGTTAAAAGAACCAATTGATATTTCGCCATCAGAAGTAGATGGAATTGCGTCAATTTCAGAATGCGATGAAGACTTGGAAAAAAATATAATGCAACAATTATCAGCGGTGAACAATCCATTTTTAATGAAAGCATTTAAGGATTATCTACCATCGGCTTTATACGAGCAAGATGTGGTGGATAGTAGAAAGTGTATATCTACTAATTACAGTAACAAGCATCGAAATAAATTATTTAACAGGTAATCTTTTGTATGATTGAATTGTTGTATTTACTCAATCTATATAATAATTTTATGTATATATAGATTGCAGGAAGTTACAGAACACACGTTGCCATTAACAAAAATTTTGGAAAAGATATTATCCAAAATTTTAGATTTACGCTATAGTAGTGCAAGTAAATTAGTAAAAAATATAATGATGCAGGAATATAAACTGGAATCGCATTTGAAATTAATGAGATCCGTTTATATGATGGAGGCTGGTCATATTATGAATAAATTTTATCAAATATTATTTCACGAGGTAGATCAGAGTTTTGTTTTTAATTAAAAACCATTATTATAAAATCATAATACGACATACATTAATTAATAGAATATTTTTACAGATAGAAACTAATCAAATGTGGAATAATTCATATTTTTTATCATGTATATTAGAAGAAATACTTTCTCAACAATGGCCAGATTCAAGTTCACATTGGTCAATTATAGTGCAAGATGTCAGTACACATCAAGTGGTACAAGCCGCAGATAGTATAACTTTATGTTATGCAACAGGATGGCCCATAAATATTGTATTAAATGATGAAATTCTAACTAAATACAACGAGATATTTCGATTTCAATTAAAATTAAAGTGGGCCTTGTGGACGTTAAATAATTTAAAATTCATTGGTAAAGAATTACTTTTTGGATCATAATTAAATTAACACTTAGCAAAAATACATGCGAATTTAACTTGTTTGCTTTTAGACTTGGAAGGTTTAAAATCATTACACGCTAAAAACAATATTGAACATTTCCAAATAAGACGTCTTGAAAGTTTACGTTTCTGGTTATTACATGCTATAGGATCGATTCATGCTTATCTATCAGGACAAGTATTGCAAAGTTTAGGATTCATGTTTGATCAATCTTTAACTCAAGCTGATAGTCTCGATGGAGTTATATCTGGTATGCATTATAAAGAATCTATTTTATGTTACATTTACAATTGTCTATTGTGTAATATTATTTTCTTTTTTGTCTATTTTAGTCCACAGAGAATATTTAGATAAAGTTCACAAACATTGTTTGTTAACGAAAGAATTTGAAGATTTAATGACAACTGTAAACAATGTAAGAAAATACTTATAGAAAGTATTTCAAAATATATGAGGATAACTTCAGGGATGGTTTAACTACGCTAAAATATGTATATGTGATCATATAAATTATTTAAAATTATATTAAAGTATTAAAACCATTTTTTAAGTTATACTTTTATATTTAGAAATACTCTATATGTATATATATAATTAATAATTTTGTATAATATATTACATATTAACATAAATTTATTTAATACAGTTAATAGAAATGTGTATCCATATTCGAGACCATTGGGATTATAAAAAGCTATTACGTACTGTAACGGAATTAAGTTTAATGGAAAGCAGTTACATAAAATACCACACGTATCTTGCATTGACTTTACATAATACGGTCCAGTATAAAGACGCGGATTATCGTAAGTCTTACGTTTTATTTCCTGATATATAAACAAGATAATGATTTGAATATAAAATTAATGATCACGCGAATCTTTTTTCTATTTTTATCTTTTTACAGTAGTGGGATTAAGTTCAGCCTTTAACTGCAGTATGCCGAGCATGTAAAAATATTAATGTATTATAAGATTTGTGTTTATAGGTGTCATTATTCATTTTCATAAGTTATCACATAAATCTTGATATTACATCATTAATTAATTACCATCTCATCTTTCTTCTATTACATTTATTTTCGGTATTATTTACATGCGAGTTTGTCAGATGTAAATTATTAATTTCGGATAAGAAAGAAAAAAAGAAAAAAGAAAGAAAAAAAAAGAAAACGATAAGAATGAAAAAAGCAAAAGAGACAAAAAGAAAACGTTACACACTGTACGAACAGTGTATCTTCTGTGTTGTGTGTGTCTGTGTGTTAGAAAAATTTTCTGGAAAATTTCATTCTAATCTCCTTTTCATTCCTGATACAGTCTCTTCTTTTTTTCTTTCCCCCCCGGTCCCTACGGCTTATCTTTTGCAGATAAACTGACGCCGCGAAGGCAAGTGAAGTCCAAGGACGTTTATGACGAAAAAAACGTCGTCGGGTTGAATTTCATAAGCGATTTAAGTCGTAATTTATTAACGGAGATTGCGTTTCAAACCTTACCACCTTCGGGTATTTCAATTCCTATACCAAAAATGATACGCAAAAAAGATTGGCAAGTTAATCGGTGAGACCTATTATTAATTGAAACAATTTAATATATATAAACAAAAAAAAAAAAAAATGATTCCTCATTAAATTTTAGTCCGAAGACAATATTGTCCGAGCATTTAATCGAATACGAACAAACGTTCTCTTATTTGCGTTGGTATCTGCACGAAGAACACTATATTGCATTTTCCTCTTCCTCCTCTGATGTATTGTCACGCGAAACTAAACGTATTATAAATGATACATTCAAAATCGACAAGCTATGAAAAGTGAAAGAAAATAATGCTTGCTTTTTAAGATAGTTACTTTAAAAAATATCCAAAAATTAATAATCCAAAGATTGAAGAAATTAAAATTAATAAGGTATCCCTACACATTTTTTCCATTAATCTAATATTCAATTAGACTTGATAGAAGAGTTAGACTAAAAATAATAATTTATGATTATATAAAAATGAGAAAAATTAGATAGTTTGCGTATGCGTGTGTGTAAATAATTGATTGAATTAATCAAATGTCAAAAATCTTTCAGAGACTAGTAAAACAATTGAGACGTTGTAATACCAACTGTGATTTTGAGAAAATATGTATGAAAAAATTATATAAATTTTGATCAATTTGTTTTCAAATAGGATTCTTATAACATTTTTACTTTTGTAAGTTCAATAAGAGACATAAGAAAGAAACAGATTTTGAAAATGCATTTTAAATAATACTCTTTTGGGAGAAAAAAAATGTGGGTGGTGTCTTCTTGGTCCACTTTGGTTTTCAACGTCTCGATTTTAGAGTTTGTTGTGTTCTTTGTATAAGAGAAAAAAAATATTGAAAAAAAAAAAACAATTGATAGGAAGACGAAAAAAAAAAAGTTATTATCTGCTATTAGTTTTATGCAACGAGATTGATACGCGAGGCGGTAGAAAAGGCGGTAACGTTGGACTTGCTTCGGACAAGTATGGTCGATCTCATATGGGCGGAGCGTATGGTCTGACGAATGACGGTCAAATGGTCCGTGCGTACAAATGGCGCTCGTCTTAACAATATAACGTTATCTTCATTTACTTTCTAATTTTAATCACCTTTTTATCAATTACTACGATCTTTTATTAAAATATATATTACGATTTCGAAAATCTTTATATCGATATCACAATGTAAAAAATATATAATACTATAATAAAAAAGAAAATATAAAGTAACAAAATATCAGCACACAATACGCGATCAAAGTTTTGATACTAATGTCATACTACTGTAATTACAAAATAGGGGATTTGATAATAATTAGATATTAATGATTATGATGATTATGAAGAAATGAGATCAATTTTCTTTTCTTTTTTTTTTTTTTTTTAATGTAAATCAAATAATTTGCTCTTTTAAAGATTGAATTTATGTATTGGATCGTTCATGTAATTTACAAAAATTAAGCTGTATACTTCTTGATGGGGAGAACAATTGTAACCCCTCCATCGATAATAATAATAATGTTGGAGAGATAAAATCTGGAATTATAAAGTGTGGAACGTTTAATACAATGGATTTGTTTTAAAAGGTGGGACACGACTGTCGAGCTCTTATATCTTCGAGTAAAGATTTTATTGAAATATAAGGAATCTGTACCAGACAGAACTAAAATTACTGATGAATTTGGTACTACTACTGGGGTTCACATATTGTACATACCTGCGTAACCACTGCGTTATTTTTTTTTTCTCATGCTTACTTTATAAGTAGTTTGAATGTTTATAAGTACACAAACAATATTGAAGGTACGCGCACAGTCTATTTGAAAATTCTAAACCTAAACAGGAGTTTTTTTTTTCGCTAGACCAGCAGTTGCACTTTTTTTTCTTTCTTTCTTTCTTTCTTTTTAATGCATACAGATTTTTAATGGGGTTTTTTTTTCTGCTTGCTGTTTTTTTTTTCTTCTTTTTCTTTCTCTCATATCTTGTCGCTATTTACAATTTTTTTTATCGGCTAAAAGATTTATAATTCAGAGCTCGAATTATTATTATTATTATTATAATTATTATTATTATTGTTGTTGTTGTTATTATTATTATTTTTTCTTTTCTTTTTTTTCCTCTTGTTCATTTTGATATTTACAATTTTTACACGATATCTCCCTTCCAATATACAGTGTGTGTTCAAAAGATTATACAACAATTTTTCGATATTTATTTTTTTTCCACTTTTTTTTTCTTCTTACTTTTTAATTATTTCACCATGGCAATTTGTGAATTGCTGGGAAATTGAACTTATCTATACACAATTAATCCCCGGATACGAAAGATGTACGAAAGCTTGACATAATTACGTATATATATATATGTTAATCGTTAAAGTATATAATTCATTTAATTCATGAAATATATAACTAAACGTTTTAGAGAAACCATATAAAAAGTATTTTATTATACACTTTAACTAGTTGTTTAGGAAATAACTAATTAAAATTTGCTTTTCATCCTATAACAATTCTTGTTGTTATCAGTTCTTTTTTTATCTTTTCGTTCGTTTTAAATCAGTATGCTCGATGATAAACACTTTTCGTTACATGATTTACGTAACATCCTGTCTAACATATACAATTTGCAATAAAACGCTATGAAAAATTGTCGGATTTTACTTCAAACACATATATAATAAATATTAATTGTAAAAAAAGCAACGCTGTATAGATTGAAACGTTTCTTTAAATTAGATTTCCAAAAATCACTTTAAAAACGGGTGTGTGCTCGCACTAGAATAAAAATACACTCCCTTCCTCTCCTTCGAACTTTTCGTTCAGGTCGCGTTATATTTTTTTCTACGGTTGCCAGATGATCATCGTGATCTAAACGAAAAGTTCAATAAAATAATAAGCTTGGCGATTAATATGTTAAAGTATGTAATTTTACGTTAATTTTCATACAATTAACTGGTCGGTATAGTTATTTCATACATTAACAGGTCGGTATAGTTATTTCGTGAATTAACGAATGATTTTTATGCTTTAACGGTAACATATATATATATATATATATATATGTATATATATATATACACGCGATTACGTTCGATTAACTTAAGAGATCTTGCTTCGTTAGTATTTTCGGGACTTTTTTTTTCTTTCTTATCTTACTTTGCAAGTAATAATAATTTTTAATATTAACGTCAAGTTTCACGTAAAGATAAAGACAAGCGGTAAAACGTAGAAGAAGAAAAAAAAAAGAAAAAAGAAGAAGAAGAAGTAAAACCAAAGAAACAAATTATCGACGAACACAGATAGTACGTTTAAGATATAACTTTTCTTTAACGGGGATACATCTCATCGTGCACACGATCATAACGTTTATATTATTTAACGTTAAATCATTCAATTAATCGTGATAAAATTTAATTAAAATAAATAATCGACTTATACTGTCAAAAAATTCGCTTTTTATAACTGCTCTCTCTTTCTCTCTTTTCTTTCTCTTATAAAATTAGAAGCTTGGACAACAACGAATATTTAAAATTTCAATTTGTTCGAGTTAGGAACATCTGTTATTTAATAAAATACTCACGACTGTTATTTAAGAAAATTAAACTGCATTATTTAAAAACTGCTGGAATCTCGAAAATTTGTTTTTTTTTTTTTTTTTTTTTTTTCATTTTTCTTAATGAAATATATATATAAAGTTATTATGTTTAATTCGAATGAAATCAAAACAAGACAACTTTTGTTATTTAAACAAATGCATCGGCTGTTATGATAAGCTTATTAAGGTTTAATTTTACAGATAAATAAAAAAAACCAAAGTAGGATTGAATAAAACGGATATCTCATAATAGACATAATACGCAAACTTTTACGTATTTTTTCTAAACTGCAAGGATTTTTCTTTTTATGCCAGTAACGCATCATCTGACTCAAGATTTATGTACTCCTTCAACTTGGTGCTTCCGTATTATATATATGTATATATATATATATCTATTTAAATAATACAAAACGCGAATTAACAAATAAAACGTAACGTAATTGAGAAAAACACGAAAACGTACGACAAAGTTTATTTCTTTTCAAATAACACGCTTATCTCGCAAACAGAGAAATTGAAAGAAAAAAAGATAAAACGTTTATATTCACGCAATATTTCCATTTGAAAAAAAAGATAAAAAGGAAGAAATAAAAGATAAAATTCTTAACGCAAATCAAAAATTACTGGCGAGTAATTATATGATCGTGTACAATTTGACGCACATTATACTTTCTTTCTTTCCTTCTTTCTCTCTCTCTCACTCTCTTTCTTTCTCGTGTTTTGAGCAGCTAAGTTCTATAAAGCGTTTTAAAACATGCACTGTAGTGCGTATTTTATCATAATAACTCGACGGTGCGGCTCATCATCATTTCTTTAATGCTTTTAACTTCCGAGTAAATTTGTCGTGCAATCACAATATCGTTTTTTATTTTTCTCTCATTTTCTTTCCTTATTCACCGATTTGTAGTATTATAAGAACGAACGTTTAATTATTATTTTAATCATCATCGTATCGTATTCTCACGATAACAAATCCACACAACCACACACATCTTTCTTACGGTAGCTCGCATATTTTTGCAATAATTAAAATAAAACGAGAAACCAAATAAAAATTGAAACGAATCGATATAAACGCGTGTAATTATTAACAATAAAATCATATTATAATTTTGTCGCGATCGTTGGCAGGCAGATAGGCAGCGTTAAATGAAAGCAAGAGAAAACATAAATTACGACAATCTTTCGATCATTCTCATTATCAATTCGTTATTATAAACGTTTCTCCTCAACAACGCAACCGCGAGTTTTTACAATTAAAAATGTGTTAATATAAGAAGTTAAATTTGTTTTTTTTGTTTTCCTTTTTTTCTCTTTTTTAATCGCTCTCGATGACGAGTTGCTTGCGCAGACACATAATAATCGATGTGTGAAAATAATTTATGTATTTACAGCGATTTAATACAACGAGTCAAAGGGAATCATCACCGTACCCTTTCGTTTATATTTGTTCATCCTCGTAAAATGGGTTAATAAATGTCGCTTTTCGGGTCTCTTTCACGAAAAAATCCCTTTTCCGTCTTACACTCTCTAATGGTAACCGTTTTAAGATTCACGGTGACATCTGTTATGAATACTTGATCGGCAACTGGATTTCTCGCGTGCCAATACTCTGTACCGGGATTCGATAAAGGAACGTACATCTCCGGCCTCATTATTTCGGTTTGTTTGATACTTGTTGCGTTGTTATTGTTATTATTATTATTATTATTGTTATTATTATTATTATTATTGTTATTATTGTTGTTGTTATTATTATTATTATTATTAACATTACTATCATGGCTATGATGACCATTGACTATCGCGGTTAACCTATTGTTATTTGTGTAAGAATCTGTAGGACTCGGTGATTTGTGACCATTGGCATCTACCGTCGTGGAGTTGTTGCTAGTCTTTTCTGGTTTTTGTTCGGGTAAATGCCTTTTTTTCACTGGTTGATCTAGAGGTGTGTCCACTTGTGGAGACAAAGAAGCAGCTGACGGAGTACGGGGTAGAGAAGGTAGTGGACCGTGAGGTACATCGGCTTCCGGTCGTTTCTTGTCTTGCACCGGTGGTGCCAACGTCGTTGGTACCGCTGGTAATGGTTCTTCGGGCGTAGATTTCACGCTAGAAGATGATAGTCTTCTACCGTTCACCTTGTGCCCCTAAAAAGAGACGATGCATAACAATGATCTCGTTTAAAAAAGAAAAGAAAAGATAAAAAGGAAATAAAACATCGTACTATCTCTATCGAAATAATTATTTAGAAAATTCAATTTTGTAGACAATTTGATTATGAAGGTAAGAAAAATTCAGCAACCTAATTCATAATGATTTGTTAAGAGTTACGTACTAAACTTTAGCGAATAAAAATTGGTCAGTCAGAAGAATAAATATTTGATCTTTGATTAAATTGTAATATCATATACTTGACCCCATTCTATATAATAGAATATAATATATACATATTATATTTGAATAATAATGATATAGAAAAATGTCTGTAAATTATTAACATAAGGACCTTACATGATAAGACGACGGTGAATTGCCTTTTAACGGCAATAAACGTGGTATTTTGTTCGGTGGTGGACTACCACTGCTCCCACTGCTTGGGCTGCTGGTAGTAATCGTAACACCAATTTTTCCAGACTCTTTACTCAGAACCTCGGCTTTTCTTTTAGTACCAGCTGGTTCTCTCCTTGGTAGTAACGCTATGTCAACGCTACTGTTTGAACTGTCTGAATCGACGCTAAACGTGGATGCCAATAATTCAGGCGGCGTAGGAGATTCTTGTCCGTCCAACGAACTGGGTAATGTGTCCTCGTCGGGGGCAACATGATTCAAATGCGGTGCGGACGTGCTACCAGTCGTTGATTCGTCCTGACTATCTTCTCCTACCCTTTCGTCTCCGCCAGGTTCTTCGACGACCACGAGATTCGCTAATACTTGCTCCTTTAAAGGAGACCATAATGGAGGGATCAAAAAAAAAAAAAAAAGAGAGAAAAGAAACAAAATTACTATTTTTATTTATAATTTGAAGTCAATTAAATTGATAACGAAAATTTCGTTAGAATTTGGACGATTGCAAAAAAAAAAATAAAATAAAAGAGTAATATAAATATTCTTACGTTGTATCTCGTATCCCTTCGTCTTGGCCTTCTCGATGATACATCTCCTCGTAAACTTTCCTCGTACAATTCGATTAACCTGACGTCTAAAATATTCTCTTCGGGTTCCCATGTGTTATATCTACGAATAACGTAATAAGATAATTAATCAAAATATATATACACTAAGGTTAATTCTTTCATTACGAATTTTACTTACTTCTTACTCCACCCTTTCCATTTAACAAAATACTCCACTTTCCCCTAAAACAAATATATATATCGATTATGGTAATCGATTCGGACAAGAATTAGAGGACAAAAACATTAACCCTTTATTTTTTTGAATAATATTAAAAAAAAATAATATATTTGCTATAAATAATAATAATAATAATAATATAAAAAATAAACTTGTACAATTCTTTAAAATTTGTATGCATCGGTGTGTGTTTTAAATAACCGACCAATCGAGAAATAGAACGAATCTTTGATTGGACCAATCACGTGTTTTGAAAAATTATCTGTATTTTTAATTTTAGTCATTTTTCATTTCTTTTTATTAAGATAATCTCGAGAATAAGTTTTAACCGCGCAAGACTAGAAGAAAAAGAAGAAGGTCGAGACGCGATTCAAATTAACCTCTCAGTGGATTTCTGTGTTCTCTTTTGTAAAGTTTCTGTTACATTGCTACTGTATTTTGCCTTGCTAATTATCAATTGTACAATCTCATGTGTCCGAACAAAATGAATAAAGGAAATTGCATTTACACGACGACGACGATAAAGTTGGAAAATGAAGACGTTGGTCGTGACATAGAATAAGAATAAGAATAAGAAGAAGAAGAAGAAGAAGAAGAAGAAGAAGAAGAAGAAGAAGAAGAAGAAGAAGAAGAAGAAGAAGAAGAAGAAGANGAAGAAGAAGAAGAAGAAGAAGAAGAAGAAGAAGAAGAAGAAGAAGAAGAAGAAGAAGAAGAAGAAGAAGAAGAAGAAGAAGAAGAAGAAGAAAGCTAACAATAAGTTATAACGATGAGGAGGAGGACGTAAGAAGCTCATTGGCGACGAAAAGATATAAAGAAAGATGGAAAAAGGATGGAAAAGATAAAGAAGATAGAAGAGGAGTGGGGGGAGAGCGAGAAAACGACAGGAGGAATGTTAACGAGGAAGAGAGACGGAAGAGGTTAAAAAAAGAAAAAAAAAACCATAGAGATAAAAAGATAAAGATGTCGGCGTCGTGTGCGAGCGCGCAATCCATCGGGTGGCGATACCTGGTGACGGGAAATGGAAACAACTATCCGGCAAGCGGGCAACACACACACAGACAACACAAAACACATACAGACACTTCACTTACCCGCTTTTCCCTCTTCTTCGTGATCCGCTCGGCGGCGTAAACCCTGTCACCGAGATCCATGACACTTATTTACTGTCTGTAGTCACTGTGGTGTTGTTGTTGTTGTTGTTGTCGTCGTCGTTTTCCTCGACAGAGGGTTGATGCACTTTGACGACGGTTTCATATACCGTCCAAGATTGACGATCATACGCACCGGTGACACTGCTACTCTGCGCAAATGAAATGGTGTCGTTGCAAACAACACACGAATCGCGTATGCAACGGGACACGCGCGTGTATCACATATACACTTTTGACTCTGATGACACACTGAGCGCACGCATGCACACTCCACACACAACACAACGCACCACGGCAGCATACACAGGCAGACGCACGTGTGTATGATTGAAAGAAGAAGAAAATAACACTTATATATTGCACAGAGAGATCAATTTTACGCACGTAACGAAATCATCATCATCACCATCATCATCATCATTATCATCATCAACACCATCATCATTATCGTCTGTAGAGATTTCTCGCTACCGTCGTACGTAACGCTCGACGACGATAACAATTGGGAAGGAAAAAACCTCGAGGATGATGGCAACATTGAGATGCACCAAATTTGTTTTTCTCACAGTCATAGGAATGTCTCGTGGATTATCGATGAAATAGTTGCGCCGATTGAGTACAACGTTTTAATGAAAAATGCGCGCTAATATACACTCACGCAGAATAAAGCAAGGGTAGTGATTGTTTCTAAATTGATTGAAAAAACATTGAATGCATTTAAAACATCCGTTTATCAGGGCGGTCGATTGTCGTCGTTAGGATGAAACGGCACGTATTGACGCGTTCTACACGCTATACAACTACGACGATTACTGCGAGAACACTATACGGCATTGCACAATGTTTTTCGCACCGATCGTGTGTAACACGATTCTCCGAGAGGAAAAGAGAAAGATAGATAAAGAAAGAAAGAAAGAGAGATAGAGCCGATGGCTAGAACGACGGATGGGACGACGGCTGGGACAACGGCTAGAACGACGGTAATGTAATGGTGGCCGAACAGTTCACGGTTAGGCCGCGCTATTGCAACGGCGTGCTGCTACTGCGACCAATGTTTTTGGAAATGTTTAACAGTTCGGTAAGACCGGCGGAGACGAGCGAGGATAGCCTACGCGCACGTCTCATCGAAAAACGAATTTAACGCGGTAGATCGTGCCTTTTAAACTCGTCTTAATTAATTCGTGTCACTTCTATGACCTATATAGTTTGGCATCAAGTTATTTTGTGTTCTTGTCACGTTTTATTCTTTTCCTTTTAATATCGAAATAAGAAAACCGTCTCGTTACTCCGTGCACCGAATCTCCTTGCAGTGTCTTTAGCAACTACTGGCCGAAGACTCACGTTATTTAAACTGGATTCGAGCGGTAAAATTGTTTTTATTCCGGCACTCGTGTGCTAGATCGTCTTGTTCTCTCTTATGTTGTCGCTGTCGTTATCGCTTGTTTCATTCGTAATCTGCTACTGTTACTACTGGCGCTGTTGTGCTGCTGCTGCTCCCTTCAGGCGAGATCAGAGCTCGTGACGTCAGCAATTTTCCCTCGCCTCGTAAACACCAAACATGGCCGTCGCATGGATATACGCTGTCTGAACGCGTCTTAGACGGGCCAAGAAAATTGAGAATTTATCGTAAATTGACCGATCGATGAATCACTGAACAATGATCAAAGATCGTTCGACAATGTCCATGGCCACGAAACAACGAATATGGGTGCGGATATCGGAAAACCGAGGCGTCCAACTTGGACCGTCTAACACATTCTGCAGATCGAGGCCGACTAGAGCCGAGGTCTGCCGAACTTCCCTCAGAAACCTAATGGACTCGCCCGAGTCGCTCTTGGTTGCGAGTAGGGAGGAAAAGAGAGAGAGAGAGAGAGAGAGAGAGAGAGAGAGAGAGAGAGAGAGAAAGAGAAAGAGAGAGAACGAGAGAAAGAGAGAGTGAGTGACTTTAGGCAAAGGAAGGGAAGGGAGGGAGGTGTTCTCAACGGTAGTGATGCGTAAGGATGCCTTAAGTGAGAGAGAGAGAGAGAGAGAGTGTGAGTAGTAGGGGAAAGAGGAAGATAACAAGATGTGGTGGGGGTAGGAAAGAAAGAAAGGAGAAAAAGAGGGAGAATTGATAAAAGAAAAGGAGAATAGAGCGCGCGCGCACGGTTGAACGATCACGAAGGGAAGAGAAAGAAGAAGAGAAAAGCAAGAGCAATGGAGGCAGAGAGAAAAGAGACAGCGCAAGTAGAGACACCGTCCTCAGAACAAGAAAGCTGCTTGCCCGCTCTCTATCGCTCGTTCGTTCGTTCGTTCGTTTGCTTGCTTGCTTGCTTGCCAGCCAGCCAGCCAGCTAGGCAGCTCCGAGTCCCCTTCTGGTTTTCTCTATATGTGTGCGTACTCGCTTGTGTGCGAGTGTAGTTGATGCAACGTTGCCACGTCCGTTCGTCGATAACACCGTACCAAATGTCACTCGTGCACTACCGGTAGAATCGAAGCGCCTATCTTCGCGCCTTCTTCTCGATCTCTCGATTTTTCTAACGAGTCATCGATCCAGGGGCGGGAGGGGGCCTTTGCGTATTTCCTTCTTCACTTTTTCAACGATCGATTGACCACGCTCTCTTTTCTCTCGTTAAACAATATTATACACGTAAACGACACCACATTACATCGTCCTGTCTGTCTTTCTATCGTTCTCTTATATTTCGACGAGTTTTCGACGATCCGACAACGTCGCGCGTCTTCTTTTACGACGTTCTGTCACATACTACGTACACGTAACACATATCTACACAGAAAAAGAGAGAGAAAGAGAGAGAGTCACAGCGTTGGCAATATACACGCACGCGCGCTTCTACGGGATAACGTAAAATCCTTCCTTCCTTCCTCTTTTTCTTAAGACGCCGAAGGTAAACCGTGTACAAGTGCGTCATATACAAGGACGAAAGGAATAAGGTATAAGACGAGAAAAGCGCAGGAGCAGCGCGCACGATTCAACGGAGGAACGAACGAACGTTCGTTCGGCGAAAGCGACAGACGTACTTACTACGGAGACGAGAAATCGCATGCAGAGAGAGAAAGAAAGAGAGACATAGATAGGGGAGGGAAAGGTTCAGGTCGGAGGGGTGGGGGCAAAGAGCGAGAGAGAAACTGCACATACGTTGACGAGCGGGAGACGATCTGCTCTCCGCATAAAACGCGTTCAACTTGGACGGATCCCGAAACGAAAATGTCCTCTTCTACTCTTCACCCTTATTCGTATATACACCAGACACACACGTATAGCCAAAACGTATACACGCGCGTACACCCTGCGATACGTATATTTGGCACGGTGGTGGGGGTAGAGTGCTAAAGAGACGGAGATATGATATTCGGGAGAAGGAGTAGTTTGTACGACGTGAGAGCATGCTGGAATCACGGAGGGAAGGGGTGTGCTTCGTCCTTCGACGTAAATACGAGATAAAAAGAAGTAGGAGAACGTTGCGCTATTGGTCGGTCTTGGGAGGCGCCACCGACACCATCAGTAGACTAACGACCCTCGACCAATCATAGTCGACGTACGGCCCACTACGTTTCCCCACGTAAGCCTGAGAAGGCGGGCATACGAAGGACGATCGGACGATCGCATTTAGTCGGCTTGCGGGCTTCTCCGCGCGCTTTACCCCCACTCTTACGCTACTCTTCCACACCTATACCTCTACCTCCTTCTCCTCCTTCTCTTCTTTCTTCTTTACCGGCATCCTGCCTGCCTGCCTGCCGCGGTCTTCTTCTCTCTTCTCTTTCTTTCACTCTCTTTCTTCGTTTCTCTCACGACACGTCACACTCTTCTCTTACGGTTCTTTCTTCTACCTCCCTCCCACCCTCCCGTTCTCCCTCCGACCCCTGCCCCCCTTAACGCGTGCAAGAAAGTCGTCGTCGTCGTCGTCGTCGTTGTGTCGTCGTCATCGTATGCCATTGCGCGCGCTACCGATCCTCATCTTCTCCTCTCTTCTCTTCTATTGCTTTCATCGGTCATTACTTGTCTAATAAACATATCCTCTATGTTTAATATCTCTATGTAATTTATTTGATATACCCCCATGCAACATTTTTGTTCATCTATGCGTTATAATTACAGGCATCGTCTTCTCTCTCTCTCTCTCTCTCTCTCTCTCTCTCTCTCTCTCTCTCTCTCTCTTTCTCTCTTTCTCTCTCGTTAATCAAAAACCGAAGAGCACATGGAGGCTTTAAGTTAGACGGAGAGAAACAGAAAGAGAGAGATAGATAAATAGGAATGTGCATGCGTCGTGGTGTCGTCAGTCGTCGTCGTCGTCCGTCGTCGTATCGTCGGTTACGTGCAACCAGAAAACGCACGCGCGCGTGCGCATGTTCTCTTTCTCTCTCTCTCTTTCTCTCCCTCTCGCTGGCCTTCGGCCCCCTTTTTCAGTAATACGCGTTGGGGGTGGGGTGGGAAGGGGGTCTAGAGGGAGAGTATTGGGGCGGGGAAGTCTGATACACCACACTACTCTCGATTCCTATTGAAATACACTTGGTCCTGGCTGAAGAACGCTAGCAGAGTAATGCGACGATGCCGCGTCTTTCTCCCACCTTCTCTCTTTCTCTCTTTTTCTCTCTCTTTGTGCATGTAACCAGTAACGCTAGGCCGGAACTTACTTTTCTCTCCCCCTCCTTATTATCTCCACTCTTATTTTTTCCCCTCCTCCTTCTCTTCTCTCTCTCTCTCTCTCTCTCTCTCTCTCTCGCTCTCTCTCGGTTTGTCTCTTTCCATCTATCTTCTCTCTTTACATCTCGAGAACCGTGTTCGAGAGTCTCGACTTTTCTCTCTTGCCATTTCTTTCTCTCCATTTCTCTCTCTCTTTCTCATAGCCGCGTTCGTCGCTCTTTCCCCTCTCTCCTTACCTTCTCCGCAAACCATTTCGTACCTCCGCCACCACCACACCACCATCACCACCACCAACACATCGTTCTCTCGCGTTGCCCTTCTATGGACTTTGCGATCTACACACACATACCTACGCACACATGCACACACCAATGTGCATCATTTACGGATAATCTAAACCCGCCCCCCCCCTCCTATCTTTGCCACCTAATTTTATCACCAATTTTAGGGTTTCACGAGTTAATTTGACCTTTCGTAATTGTTCTTCTTCATTTTCTGATCACCGGTCCCCCGCGATTTATCTTTTTCTGTACCTACGTTATTTCCGTTTAAGAGATTTTTTGTCATTTACTTTTAAAATCGTTTAGATGTTCCTAACACACGATAATAATGTCGGAAGTGCGTTCATTTCATTAGAATTTGTCGTCCTCGGTGATCGTCTGGTGACACGGATAACAAAGATCTTTGCGGTTGTTGAATAAGGAAAATGTGTTTATTGGCAAGCTAATTTTGCATAAATCAATACCGTCCATACCTAATAAAATGTTTCGTAATTTGTTCAACACATGCTTCAATTCGCTGCAAAGAAATATATATGGAAAAGTGATCCTGTTAATGAGTAATTAAAGTTTAATCTAATTGATGTCCCTCACGTTCGAGGATGAAGGAAAACACAGATAATCAATGTTGAGTTTTATTCGAAAAGTTATTGATATCGTTGTCACCTGTTGTTTTATGATAAATCTTTCGATCCTTCCTTGAGATAATAATCACGTATTTAAATAATCAAAGTATTTGTATAATCGGTACACAGCATTGCAGTGGTTGTGCCATTGAAAAATATGAATTATTTATATTAATAAGAAATGTAGACAGATCGATTAAAAGAAAAGAAAAGAAAAGGAAAAAACAGTAATAAAAAATAGAGGTAACATTAATTTGTATTTCTAAATTGAAAACAAATATACAAACAAAACAATAAAATGTAAATAAAGCAAAAAAAGTTGTGTCGTATTATGCAAATATATGGAACACGTTGGATATCATTTTTGCAAGAATTTTCATTACCAAACTAGGGTTTTTAATGATATAAATCAAGATTATTATAATTGATAAATGCATGCAATGAAAAAAATGGAAGATGAACGAATGGAAATAATCGAGAATAAAGATGCAATATGTAACAAAGACTCCGACTGTCTTAAAATAGATGTTGCGTCGCCGATGTAATTCTTAAACGTCGCGCATCGATGAACAACGCGGACCTTGATAAACAATGTGTCTCTATGGTTTTAACCTGTGTGTGTTTGTGTGTATGTATGTATGTATGTGCATACGTAGAACGAGGCTGCACCTAAAACGAACTCTATTCCCAATAGAGAGTGTTCAGTTAATTAAAGTTCTTGTCAATGATCGTAGTAATGGGAGACATGAAACTTACTGGATCATTTAGTTTCGTTTTAACGTTACCACGAATAATCGAATAGAATTTAATATGAATTTAACATCAATTATCCTGTCCCTGCTTTTTTTTTTGTTGGTTTATTTATATTTATTTAAGTTTCAATTATGTCCGATTACGTGTCGATAATTATGCACGCGAATATTTATTATACTGTAGTATTTTCTTAATGCAATATATGATATAATATTTAGATATATGTTATCTTAAAAACGTAATAATTTTTCTTAGTATAATTAAGAATTTGTAGAAAGGAAGCTTAGGATCGATACTTAATTTGTTTATTTTCAGATTAATTCAATTTTGTATAATTCTATATACATTAATATCGTGTATTCACTTTTATTTGTTCGAACTGTTACAATTTTGATATATATATAAAGTATTTTAATAAATTAATTATATTCGTGTAGACATATATTATCTATATATATATATATATATATATATATAAATGTACAGTGTATAGAATAATTATTAGATAGATTTACATTCGAAGTATTTAAAATGATGTAAGAATTATCGTTTAATATCTACTAGGGGAAAATATTTCCTTTAGTACACAATTATAACTGAGAATTCAAAGATATAATATTCATGATCGATTTATATTACTTTATTAAAGGATATCATTTTTTGAAATGAACGAAACGATTGGATTCGTAAGTTATCGGAGACACGATTATCCAATATATTTAAATGCAATTTATCTGGCAAAAATAAAAAGGTTATCGATCACAGAAAGAAAGTATTGTATGAAAGATCACATCAAGTAATTATCTTTGTATTCAATTTCGATTAGACTTTTTTTTCGTTACCTCTATTAGAATAACCTTTTTAAAAAATACCCGAATAGTAGATAAATCATTAATAGAACATTCGACTATGTAGAAAGTATCTACGTTTATTTAAAATGAAATGAATTTTTGACGAAGTCATATTCGTAACAACGTTTATCAAAAATGTTATTGCCTCTTTTGGGTTCCTTTTATCGCGATTGATCCATTCTTATTTCATTAGAAATCGATTCTCCTGTATAAAGTGAAAACAGACTGCGAAATTTTGATCCGTCATTGTTATTTTCAAATATTGTATTTCAATCATTTCATTTTTTTTCGTTGTCTTCGTTGTGTAGAATGAAAAAGAACAATTTCAACAATATATAATTATGACAGTAGGTCATAATTATTTATGAATGAAAAGAAATTTTCGGTCGATCAGATTTTTTCACGTTCGTTCGAAATAACTCAATGTATATTTATTTGTCAAGAAGAAATATTAAATTGGAAGAGAAAGAGGGGGAAGAATAAAATTCGAATAACATTAGAAATTCATTGATTTGGTATTTCCATCGATTACATTGATCTCATCGTTATTAAATGAGTAACGATGTGTGTGTGAGATGCATCGGTATTGTTTATTATACATCTATAGTAATTTACACTAATACCTATTTACTCTTGGATGAGATTTCTTATCAAACATCGAGACTTAGATACATTAAATCATTGGATAATAATACTAATAATGTATAAGTGAATGTGAATATTGATTGAGTGATGATATATCGTTGAGACACCCGTTAGACAAGTGCACCTACGTATAAGTTCACTTATTAATTCAGTGACGAGAGCAACGGCCACGCTGGTTTGGCGCATTGCACCGTTTTATACGTCGTCGTCGGGACATAATGCGTGTACACTAACGTATGTATACTTATACATATACATATACGTGTATATAGAAAAAAAAAAAATACCGAGGAAGGGTTAGAAAGAACGTTGTTATCGGACTAACGCATGTTATCGCACGAACTTATTTTCATTCATATAGGAATGTATTATGTTACTCGTGAAACACAAAAATTGGATAATGTCAAGAATTCGCATGGTGTCGCAATGATGATGTTTATTTTGATGCATTTAATAATTAGAACATACAACAATCTCGGCGTTATCCAATTTCGTTAAAATATACATCCAAATAATATATGATTGATCAGTAAAATATTTGAACATCGGTATACTCATT